GGAGGGGGTGTTTGGGGGGCTTGGGCCTGGGGGTTGGGGGTTGAAGCAGGCTGTGTCCTTGCCCTAAGCTAAGCTCGTGTTTCTGCCGCTGAGACTTCTGGTTCTCACTTATTGCTGTCCGTAGCGCTACGCCGCTTCGGCGAATCTGGGCTTCCTGAGAGGCTAGCGATTCAAACTGCAAGACGTGAACATCAGCTTCCTTTCGACTAGTTGCAGTTGAGGCGAGCCCTGACATATATACCCTAAACCCTATAATTTGTCCGAGGCCCAAGAACGTAACTGCAGAGCCCTTACAAGCGCCTCTGAGTCCCTGGCGTAGGCGCCGAGTTTCTCCGCCGGAGAGCACCTTAGAGGAGGCGCCAGCTGGGCGAAGTGAATCATTCTTGGAGTTTGAACTTTCGGATAGGCTTTTTGGGGTATATTATCCGGGTATTTTCTACTATGATTAGACAGGTGTTGGAGAGAAGTAGTAGGTCTAAATGCCCGGGATTAGGGACGCTTGGGCGTTGCAAATTGCTGCAGGTAGCAAGCTTGCCTTCGATGGATGCTGCTATCGGGGCTCTGGTCGGAAAGCTTCCGGACAGGGCCTCAGGGAGCCGACTTTCAAAAAATCATCAACTTGGGTGAGACTCACAATCGAAAAGACGGGGCATCCTCTGCACCCAAGGCTCTGGATGACGTCTTCCCACGGCACCCATCTCAGCATCATGAGCACCGTCGACACCATTGTCACCGTCGTCGTCATCATCGTATCAGATTTTAAGCAATTGCGTACGCAACCGCTGGTGTGGTCATCGTTGGCATCATCAGATTATTGGCGTGCATGAATCCTCGAATCTGTCACTGTGTTTTCTTTCAGGCATTATCATCAGTTGACCAGCGAACAGGTTGCGGACAAAAGCTCAGGAAATAATAGGTTAGAGGATGGAAGACGACTAAGTAGTGGAACGGTTGCTAGGTGTGTATGCACGTAAAACACTACCTCCATGCCCTACTAAGTCACTAACTTAGTGGCTGGCCGACACACCCAGGCTGAGTTAACCGACTGACTGATTGGCTGATCAACTGGCTGCGGAACTGGCTAGGTATGAAACTGGCGATCTCTGAGTTTGTCGTCTTCATGACGACAAGAGTCCTGAGTGCCTGTAGGAAGCATGATTGCAAGCAGTAGCAGTTAGCACTTTTCATCGCCAACACCCTCACCAGCAGGAGCAGCAGCATAAAGAGCCAAAAAAAAAACGTAAAGCTCAGGGAAGTATCTCCTCGGAGCCCAGGCTTGGCACTGTGGCTCAGCTGGCCCTCTTCCGGAGTCGGAAGGACAAGCGTGGATATGTCTTGGGGTGCTTGCAGTCTGTGATTCATGATTCAAGGCTTAAGGGTGTAGTGCAGTGTCCTAATTTGCCCTCGCGTGCACGAAGATATGAATGTTCACGCATACCAAGCTTACACGTGTTGTCAGCTCCTTGTGCTGCTGAACTTGGAATCTCATCTTGGCTGGCACAGGATTCCAGTCAGCTGCTCCTGGTCTGCAACACGCATCTCTACTTCGCGAACTACGCCAGGCGCCAGCTGGACCTGGTGTTTGCCAGCCCGGTGTCTGCTCCTCGCACTCTTGGGACACCCTGGCAGGAACAAGGAGACTGCATACAGTGACGGAATTGTGAGTGAGGCCGGAGGTTCTTTCGTCAAATTCCAGGGCCCTCGGAACTGCAAACTAGCACGCGAAACCTCTTCTGAGTAGTAAAAATCATGACGACCATCGTACACTACGCCTAAATGGCCCCAAACCCAGGCCACTTGACTAGTCATGATTGCTATCACCAGTTCGACACTGCCCATGGCCATTGCCAGGCATATTCGAGTGCTCCAGGCAGCGCTCCTGCTTGCCGAGGCTCTGATAGAAGATACTGTTGCGCACAACACAGTCCTATAATAAGTCACGGAGTAGGGTTTAATAACAAGGTGCAAGAATTATTATTAGAGTACAGTCGAGTGGAGTCTCTTCCAGTCTCGTACAGTACAGTGCATGGCAGGATAGTACATAGCATAAGTGTAGTGCGTTTTGACTTGACGCTTCAGTCAAGCCCTACCCTTCCACAGCCAAGTTCTGGATCTCCAAATCCCGTGAAGCACCGGATACCGAAAGTGTCCGGAAGTGTCGAAGGACCATGTGCAGCAAAGGCCTCATGATCCTCAGACCTCGCATCTGCTTCTGAGCATCGATCCCGCAACCGTTAATTACTTAACGTAGGTTTCCTGCATGGGGGGGCGTCTGAGCCCAATGCGAATGTCTCCCGTGCTGTGAGGCAGAGTCGATGGCTGCAGGTGCAGTTGAGAAGTCCGGGCCTCAGCTCGACGGCGACTGCCCTGCGGATTCGTGTCCAATGGCAGCCGGAGACTGGTGGATGTGGTAGAAGAGGACGAGGCAGCATTGCAGTTCTTGGCAGCGAAGACCGTTGCATGTGGGTGCATGGGGTATGTATGGGGTTTATGTACCCTGAAACGGCTAGACTTAGAATGGGGCCGGTGAAAGGTGACTTGGCGGCCTCTGCTTTGCTTGGCTGGGTTCTTTTTAAAGGATTTAGTTTAAGTTACCATAATAGGGATCTATGGTGATTAATATGGTTTCCTTATCATAGCAACTTAAATTAAAAATTCCTTAATAAGAGCCCCGTTGGTGGAGGTTTGGGCATCGTCCGGGCCTCCTCTTCATGGGAGACTTGAACAGCACGTCTGCTCCTCGGGGGGGTGCCATGGAACCGAGCTGAAGAGATCAGTGGGCAAGAACAGCCTAGAGTTACAGTATGGATATACAGCATAGTTTAGGGTTTAGGGTTTAGTTGTTATAGTATAGCCATACTACAGTTATAGTATAGTTATAGTACAGATATGGGGATCAGGGACCTTGCGCTAGATCCTTCGCCGAGAATAAATGGACGATTCGATTGCTCGAGGCCAGACACGGCCGTCGTCGAGCTCCTGCGGCAAGGCCAAAGCTAATCAACGTTCCTAGCGAGTGCCCGGGGCTTGAGACTGGACCGCCGCACGGGGCGAGTTTAGGCCACCATAGAGTCAGAGTTCCTCCGACTTGCTGCTTGAGGTATCTTGGGGCGGCTCTACGCATACTACTGCGTATGCCGCCGCGTGCATACTACCAGCCCTTCAAGCATTTAAATGAGTTGTGAATTGCAAAGAGTTTATCGAGTATGATAGATACCGACGGACCAAACGTCATAATTATAAGGTCCTGGGCATCAACCAAAGCAACATGAACTGTTAGCGTCCTGGGCATTGAAAATCGCAACATGAAGGCTAAGCCGACATTCTCCGCGAGTAGAGGTAAGTAAACAGTACACCTACAACAGGCGCAGCGCCAGAGAGTACCAAGTCTTGAATCGAAGAGACTTCAAACATACTCTTTACATCCGAAACCTCAAACCCCCAAAGCCCTGTAGCCGTAACCCCCCCAAGGCCCTAAACCCCGAAACCCTATCCATCGGAGGCTTTGTGTCTGCTGGCCACCCAGACTGGGCGACCTGCGCAGCGTTCCGCCGAGCCCTCAGCATTTAGGGCTTGAGGCTTTATGTGGTGTGAGGGTTGGATTTAGGAGCTTAGGGTCTGATAAATATTTCTGGCAAACTACACTTCAGGGTTTTTGCATAGGGTTTAGGATGTATTTACGCTGGTTTGGGGAAGGCACGGTTGTGTTACAATTGAACAGGGGGCAACAGTGGTACGGTTGATGATATAATCCTGCACTACCCATAATAGGTATACCATAATTCCCATAGTTCAGGGTCCTTAAGGTACTGCCTAAACCCTAAACCCTACTGTATACCATAATTCCCATAGTTTAGGGTCCTTAAGGTAATGCAGGATTTATATCATCAACAGTAGTTCTCCTTTCCAGGCTCCCATCAATGGTGTGCTCTGTCAGAGACGCAGAATCCTGGGCTTGGGTTTAGGGGTTTAGGGTTTAGGGCTTGGGTTTAGGGGTTGAGGGTTCAGGGTTTAGGGCTTACAGGGTTTAGGGTTTAGGTTTAGGGTTTAGTTTGTTTAGGGTTTAGGGCTTGGGTCAAAGCATTCGAATTGCTCTCACCCCGCAGGCTTCGTGCACTGGCCGTGTGCGCTCTTCTGCACTGTCACACGCGCATACCACACACGGATTTCTTCGTAAAGCTTTCTTTCGCACGCACCTGCTTCGGAAGGGACCAGCTTGGACATGTGGGCTTGGTTGACACCACCGGCGAAGCTGAACATTTTACAAAATCCGAAGCCACAAGTATATTAGGTTTAATTTATTCAAACCAGATTTATGCCGCTGCTTCTATCCCGCCGGCGAAATTCTCGCTCAACATCTGCTTACATGAAGCTGTCTGACCAATCAATGGTCGCACGGTTCTGCCGTGTGGTATGAATTTGAGGGGGCACTTCAATCGGAGTTGCAATGCTGAGAAGTCTGAGAACCCTCCATAAAGATTGGAGGATGCTGAGCTGTTTATAGTTCAAGTGGCCCTATCTATGTTTTTCACAACTGCGATGGTGCCATTTTGCTCGGAACTTGAAATCCGAAGCGAAGACCCAAAACGAGCAGAGCGATTTTTCTTGTTCGCATCATAATATCCTAAACTGGACATGACATGATGTGACCTGATAGGAGCCTTGAATCCCTAAACTTGAAGCGAAACCCAAAAAGCAAAGGCTGGGGCTATGCTTCGTCTCGGCAGGCCGCGAAGGACACTTGCAGTTCACAGCGTGAGCCCTATTGCAGCCATGAAGCCCCGATGCTTCCGATCGCGCGTTTACGGCTCGGTTTGGGGTTGGGGCCTGGTTTGGGGGTTTAGAGGTTGGTTTAGGGTTTAGTACGGACGTCCAGGATACGACTCAGCGGGTCGGGACACGCAAGATATCAGCAAAGCTGTCGAAACTAATCTGAAGCCACCGAAAAGAAATGGGACCATAGGACCTCCTGGGTTATTGAGCACGAGAGCATCACGCAGGACATGCTTGCTGCGCTGCAGTCCGACGACAGGCTGCCCAGCTGTCACTGTGGCGCCTGTCCAAGAAGGGTGAACATCCTATGAAGAAGCCAGGCTTCATGGCTTGTGCCAGAACCCCTCCCAGAGCCCGGAAACTTTTCCATCTAGCGAGTGAATGGCTTGTTCGTAATGTCTTATATATGTACGCTAGACAGTACAAAGACATGGCTGCAGCTGCTCAAACTCAGATAGTATGCATGTCTGCTGTCTCTCTCGCTCCCCCGCTCTCCCTCCCTCCCTCTCCGTCTCTAGCCTCGTAGGAGCACTTAGTTTTTCAACAGGAAGCCCTTGACCCAAACAAGCACCTGTGAGAAGTCCTGCAGGGTATCTGCCTTTCGCGACCTCGTTGTTGATGACGAAGGGTTGGAGGCCGTTTGCCATCAGCAGAATCTGCTAGTCGCTACTGCTGCCGGAATCAGCGTTGAGAGCGCTAGCAGAAGCAAGAGCTTGAACATGCTTGAACTGCATTTGTGGCAGTAGCAAAGAATCATAGTAATTGCTATGCTGCTAGGCCTCTGCAACGGTCTGGAGTGATTCAGGCTCTGATGTCCTTGCGAGCCACCACAGAGCGGCTCATGCGCGTCCGCCGAAGCCACAGATTGACTGAAACTCTGTGGAGCAGACGTCAGTCTGGCAACTTTTTTCATCTTCCCAGCAGATGTGTAGGGCCAGTCAGGAATATGGCGTCTTCTCGAGACTCTGAACCTTAACAGCCCAAACAGCTTCTGTGCCTTCCTTTACGCCAACTTCCGCAAGCCTCCTTGAAACCTTCGAGGCATCGCTCTGCGAAGCCTACATAATATAATGAAGTATGATCTATATCTGCATTAGAATAACGCAACATGATTTCAATATCGTATAGTTAAATATCTAAGGTATCTAAGGTCAGATAGTACAACATGATACGAAGATAGTATCTATGTATATGTGTATGTATATATACATATATTACATATATATATATACATATATATAATATGTATAGAGCTATCTCAATATAAAGAGATATCTCAATATAGATACCAATAAAGCCTCTGACCTCTGGGTCCCAAGGTGCCTCGCTGGCGACTCTGGGTTTGGCTCAGGCCTCCGAGGTGGCCGAAGAGGAGCCGGCGCACTCCTCTTTAGCTAAAGGTAATACGAATAAGAATATTAATGTTAATCTTAATATTAATAACAATAACAATAATGATCACAACAATAATACTAATAATAATTTTAAATAAGATGAAGAATAGAACAGTTATAATGCTTGTTACGAAAACTACTAAGAATAGTTCATACTCATTTTAAGAATGGAAACGATAGTCAATAATAGTACTTATAATACTAGTTCAATACTTATCATACCAGTTCAATAGTGCGAATAATAATACTGCTAATAATAGTAATACTGATAATAATCCTCTTGAGCTACCGAAGCTCATGAAAGGAAGCCGTGGCTTTTGGGCTTCAGGGTACAGGGCTCTTTTTGTTGGAGACCTGAGAGTTTCAGGGGCTTTATATAGGGGCCTCAGTAATTAGAATAGGGTTTGGGGGGTATACTATAAAATAATTATAATAAGGAACCCCCAAAACCCTCTTCTAGTTACTAGGGCCTCTACATTATATGGTTTTTGGGCAGAACTGTCGGGCTATTGCAACCTTGCTTCTCAGGAGCAGGCGGAAGTGGCAGAGGCCAGAGACTGCCACCAGAGTGCAGATCCGATGTGCTGCAGCCCATCTATAGCAAGGCTTGTTCTAAACTCAAGGCCACGTGTAGAGCTTTAATTCGCATATTGCAGCAGACTCATGCGGCCATGGACATCTTGCAGGGAAGTATCATTTGGAAGCAGTCAGACCCAGGGACTCGGAAAGACTCTCTGACCCGCAGGTGCATGAAGCCGTGTCTGATACCGCTGCCTCAGCCTGGTCCTGGACTGAGACGAGAGTTCCGAAGAGTCAGGGAATCCTGGGTGGGGTTTAGGGTTGAGGGTTTAGGGTTTAGGATAGCATCTATGGTATGGGTTCGATTGCTTGGAGACTGCCGCTCCGGGGCTGCAGAGTTCTCCAGCATCCCTTGTCCACAACTCAATCTGGAGCCGACCAGAGTCCTGAGGGCCTCAGACAGCGGAGGGGGAAGGACGCTCTTCGAGCAGTTTGAACATAGCGGCGATCGCCTGGTCCGGGCCCCCTTCCACCGGCTGCAAAAAGTGGGTTGCACCTTAATTCTCCCAACCAAAACACCCTAAAAGGGCACCCACACACCCACAAAACGCTGCGAGCGCCCCAAGACCTCCCAAATGGGCCCGCAGACCCAGGGAGCGTCTGGAAGAGAGGCTCCAGGCCAAGGGGACCTTCAAGAACTCCGTGGGAAGCTCAAGGGTACCAGTTTGTCTCAGAGTTCGGGAGGGCTTCTCTCCTGAGGCTAACAGAATAGAAGATCCTTGGAGGGCTTTAGAGGGATGTTACAAGGGTTTTGGGAGTTTTTGATTCAAGCACCTTAAGGGTTTAAGTTTCATAGGGCTCCGGGTTTAGGGCTTCGGGTGCACCTAGGGAGTTCGGGCTGAGGGTTGCCCCTTCGGGGTGCCGGGACATGTGGAGGGTTTAGGCTGTGATGCTTCTACATGGGAATGGAAGGACCGCTTCGACAAAAACTGGGTTTAGGGCGATCCATATGGCCGAACTGCGTTTGCACACTTCGCCGGGGAGCACCCGACGCGGGCCACCACAAGAGCTCAAGCATCAGCATTCACCATGCTTGTCTCTGGCGCCGACCGTAAGTTTACAGTCTACCAATGAGGATTCTGGCGGTGGAGCCCGAAACCAAACCAGGGGAACTTCATGTGTGGCCATGAGGTCCTTGGGAAAGGCGTCCAGGTGAAAAGGAAGAGCACTGACCATGGGCCAAGTGTACTGACAGGTTCCTATATTGATTGAAGCTTCGTTCTCGGTGCAGTACAGTCTTGTTTAGCATAGTCCACATCAAGTGGTGTGCCACACTACATGGCATGACATATGGTGCACAATTGCAGAACGTCGTGTGCAAGCTCTTGTTAGATAATATGGCCATGCCAAAAAGCGCAAGTGCGATGAGCAGTGCACTGTGGACGAAGCCCCAACTTGTCAGTTTTATGCCCCAAACTCCCCAAGAAAAGCAAAACCCTTGAAGCCCTAAGCTCTTGTAGCCGTTCACCCCAAACCACTCTGTACTCTTCTGTGGTGTTGCCCATAGGCCCTTGTTGCCACTGCGCAGCTTGCGCTGGACCTTCGCTTGAGCAACGAGCCGGCGGGATGGTTCTGTGACCGGTTTATCGTTGAGGAATTAGGTGAATTAGGGATTTAGGCCTGCGTTTTAACGGTTAAGGGGGGTCACTTTTGTGTTTTGGGGTTTAGGGTTTGGGGTTTTGTTGACGTGGAGCTTCGGGTTGTCGGTATCTAACAGGGTTTAAGGTAGTCTGTAGTGGAGTAAAGAATAAACTGAACTGACGTCGTGTCATGTAATGCTGGATCAGCGAGGTGATATAGCAAAGAGCAGAAGTATGCAGCTACGTGGCACGACCTAGGACCTAGTGATGTCCGCTGTGAGATGAAGGCTGTGAGGCCCTTGCTTTCCGGGGCATTGGGACTCGATGTGTTGCGATCCTTTATGATGGAATTAGCGATCGAGACTTTGTTCACATCAGGGACGCCTCGGACCTCACAGGCTCCCCATCGAATTATAGAACCACCTAAGAAGGCGATTGAATGGCAAAGGGTCCTTAGCAAAGGTGCCGCTGAATACTGGAGCTGGGCATAATTCTGACTGCTATCTCAGAAGATGCTTCGGTGCGTATGTCTGTGATAGCCGCGAAATTCCATGCTAAAAATGATAGTGAATGATTCTGCTACGGCAAAGTTCAGCAGGTCCTCGAATTCAGCGAGGAGGAGTTGGAGAGGGCTTCGAGCTCAGATTCTAATGGCCCAAATCCCTAGAGGTCGAATCAATTGTTGCTTCAGGCCGTCTCGGGTCCAAAGGACCAGTTGTCTCCACGTTGCTCCATTGTAGGGCATGTGAAGGTGATGATTTTGGCGACGACGATGATGGCGACTGCAGTGTGTTCACTTCGATCGACCCTCTCCTCTCAGAAACACAAACTGCACTGCACTTGTCGAAGCTCCATTTGGATGTTTCGGTCTATCTGTCCATGTTTATATGTGCTAGCACGCTGCACATCGTTGTTCACCTGAGGTCATGGCGGCCACGGATGAGCTGACTGCTGTGACTGCCCCAGATTGGAGGTTTTCCCAGAAGGCAATGGAGTTGAGACAGCTGCAGCAAAATGTGCACAGAATGAGCGGGCCTTGCTTAAAATGGACCCGAATAGTTGCAGTTTCTTTCTTTCTGTGTGCGTGAGGCAGTCAGCCAGAAGGTGGAGAATGCTATCGCCACACAGAAGGTGCGAGGACACATCAATCACGGATGCACTATGGTATGTTTATTCTAGACTGCGTTTCCATCGGGCGTGTCGTGTACCCCTTCTAGACCAGAGCGGCCTGGCTCCTCACCGCACAAGCTGTGAAAGTCACGGTCACGACTCTATTTGGAGGTCCAGTGGTGATGGGGATAAAGAGGTCTTCAAACCGGGTATCTGCACTCAAAGGTTCCTGCATCAGTTCTGAGTAATTCTGATGAACAAGACTTAAACAAGTCAAAGCCCACTACAAGCGCTCTCTCGTCTTCAAACGCAGTGTCCACCCCACGACGCAGGTAGATTCCGAGACTCTGACGCAGATAGAAACTGGAACTCCGAGATCTAAGGCCTCAATCACCCCCGTAGGGTTTAGGGTGTAGGGTTTAGAGGCCTTCAACGACAACTCACTGACCTTAGTCTTCCCATGCTTCCCTTGTCTCATTCTTCCGACTCTGATTAGTCTATCGTTGCCCTTGCCAGCGGCCCTTAGTCCGAATTCTGGAAACCCCGGCTGCTAATCGCAGGTATTCAAACAGGGGCAGCTTAGGCAAGGGGTTTTTGAGTCTTGGGATGTGTGGAGTTTTGGAGTTTCGGGAAGAGCAACTAGCAGTACCTACCAATTCCACCCTGTTCCCAGGGTTCTGCACCAGAAGTTTCCAAGTCCGCACTCCACGATATCTTTTATATACGTTGAATTTCAAGCAAATGAGCGCAGAGCGTGCTCCACAGGCCCTCTCCGAAGCAGAGCTGGGAGGCAGCACGGGCGCAGCGCTGGCAGGCGGTGTAGGGAAGGGAGGTTGTAGGCGCTTGGTGGGTTCTGGGGAAGCAGAGTTTGCAGCCTTGCCATAGAAGCAGGTGTGATTCATGGTGCTTCATTCATCCTGCCGGAATCGCAAGACGGATCCAGGCCAAATAAGCCCTGGAGGCGGAGCCTGAAGATTTTAGAAGGTCTGCCTCTTACTGTGCACGCCACACGCACGTCTACTCATTTATTGCATGACTCGCCCGCTATTCAAGTCTGTTCCTGGTGACCCAGCTAATGATCCATTCCGACTTCCGAATTCAGGACATCCATCCCTGTCTGAAGCCTACATTGGGGGGGGGGGGTGGGGGTGCACATCTGCCGAAGCCACCTGTCTTCTGGCAGGTATCGGGCTGCAGCTGGAGTCTCCTTTCAGGCTGCTCTCTACCTACGATCCGGCCCCTGAGTTCACGAACTTCGTGGGCCGCGACCTAAGCAGCGACAAAAAAGCCACAGGTGTTGTGGATGAAAGCACAAAGCATGTGAAGCATGTGCTTCGAGCTCACTGAGTCACTGTCCCGATCATGGCCTTGTCCTTGGACGCCAGCTGAGAAAGCCCCAAGCCGCATGTCCCAGAACTTCAACATCCTAGGTTTGAAAGTTTCATACCGTCGTGAGGCTGCACACCCTGCAAGATGCCAGACATTAAAGCTCAAGCTGAAGCAAAAGCCGGTGAACCGAAGGTTGTAGGTCCAGTTCCTAGCCCGAAGAGTGATCTTTTTGCAGGTAACTACGAGGCCTGCCTAGCAGCGCACTCAGATTACCCGGTGACGCTTCCCGGTCTTCGGGGTGGATCAGGCTTTACGGGTGTGCGGCTGAAGGTTTCCGGCAGGACATTCGGGGCTTGTCCGATGTGAACGCTTCAGGAACTTCGGGACTCCGGGTGTCAGCCTGCCTGTTTAAAGGTTAGGTACAAGGGATTACGGGACTTAAGACTTAATCAGCATGAGCGATTCGGGAAAGCCTTTCCGTCAGGGGTTGGGGTGTGAGGGTCTTGGTGCTGCCGGCTGCCCAGGTCAGTTAGGCACTGAGCCCGTGAGATTGAGTATCCAAGATCCACGATAAGTTGTTCAGAACTCTGGGGAGCCATTGGACAGTGGGTACTATAATGATGGATGCCTCTGGAAAAAGACACGGGTTGTCCATGCCCATAGCCGCAGCTGCAGCAAGGATTGGATCTTCTTTGAGGGAGACCACTTTCACAAGGCTGGATTCTTGTTAAGGGGTCTATTTTAAGCTAATATAATAAGGAAACCATATTATTTACTATAGATCCCTAGTATGGTAACTTAAATTACCAGGACCCTCCTTGTACCCTCACGCAGGCGTACGTGGTCCCAAACTAAGGGTGTTTAGGGTCTAATAGAGGGTAGATGGGGGTCTAGGTACATTCCTTAACAAGAGCCCAGAAGGTGTCTCGGCCTGTCTTCGAAAGGGCCCATGCTAAACCCTAAACCCCTAAACCCCTTAACCCTAAATTCTAAACCCTAGAACCTAAATCCCTAAACCCGAAATCCTAAACCCTAAGCCTAAAAAAAACCCTAAGCCCCAAACCCTTACCCCTAAACCCTAAACCCCTAAACCCTACACTCCTACAACCTAATCCTAAACCCTAACAGCCTTAAACCCCAAAACCCCCAAACCCTACACCCTAAACCCCTAAACCCTAAATCCTAAACCTTAAAACCCTAAGCCTAAACCCTTAACCCTAGACCCTACACCCCTAAGCCCTAAACCCTAAAACCCTAAACCCTAAACCCATAAACCCAAATCCCTAAGCCCCTAACACCCGAACACCCTAAACCCCTAAACCCTAAACCCTTATAACCTTAAACCCTACACCCTTAACCCTAAACCCTACACCCCATATACCCTAAACCCTTAACCTTCTCTTTCATATGTTAATTTCAACTTTAATGTCTTCGTGGTTCAAGGCCAATAATTCGCGGTTCAAGACCAATAATTTGTCGTTCAAGGCATATCGCCGTTTTTTTGCCTTGAACCACGAAAGTCTTGCCTTGAACCACGAATCTTCGTGGCTGAAGGCAAAAATCGTTCGTGGTTCAAGGCCAAGAATTCGCGGTTCAAGGCCAAGAATTCGTGGTTCAAGGCCAATAATTCGTGGTTCAAGGCAAATCCTTCCTTTCCCTGGTTCAAGGCAATTTTGCCTTGAACCACGAAGGCCAACCTTCGTGGTTCAAGGCAAAGTTGCCTTGCACCACGAACGACCTGGCCTTGAACCACGAAGCCCCCCCCCCCCCCACGCAAAGTAGTCTGAACCCTAAAATAATGGACGGAACCCTAAACTCGTCGTCCGAATCCTAAGATAATAGTCCGGACCCCAAAACAATGGTCCGAAGCTTGAAATAGCAGTCCGAAAATTCTAAACCCTAAGCCTGAATCCCTGAATCTAGTCGTCAAACCACAAAAATACGGTTAGCAAATCCATTCAATGTCAAGGTCCGACAAAACATCTGCGTAACAAAGTGGCGGGTCGGATTGTCGGCTCGCAACTTAGCAATAAAGCACAGTATGCGATACCACAAATAATAAATACGTAGTACATGCAATTTTCAGGTTTTAGAGTTTAGGTGTGATATAGAATAGTGCAAACGACCACATGAAGTCATTTAAGGGTGAATGAAGTCCAACTGTGAATGAAACTCGTTGATGTGAATGATCGAGCTTTTTTATTTTCCAATGTTACGGGGTTCTAAGGGTGGGTGGGTGTTATGCCTAAACCGTGAGTACTTTCGTATTGCTCGATCCGGAGCTGCTGAACCCTTAACCCTCAACCCGAAAACCCTAAGCCCCTAAACACTAAACCCCTAAACCCTCCTAAACCCTAAACCCTACACCCCGAAGCCCTAAACACTTTTAAACAAAAACAAAACTCTAAACCTTACACCCCTAAACCCTAAGCCGCTAAACCCTAAATCCTAAACCCTAGAACCCTAAAGCCCTAAGCCCCTAAACCCCAAAACCCTAAAGCCCTAAACCCCAAACGTAAAACCGAAAAACCCCCAAACCCTAAAACCCCTAAACCCCCAAACCCTAAACCCAAAACCCCCAAACCCTAAACCCCAAAACCCTAAACTCCTTCATCGGTCAAGAGAACCCTGAGCAGAGCATCGTCGGGAGAGCGACTTGCCAGGTCTCCGAGGCCGCCGTTCCGCCAAGGGAGGACACGGAGAAGCATACTAATACTAATAACAATAGTATAATAATATCTGTTATTATTCGTATTATTATGTTAATAATACACGGAGAAGCACGCTAATACCAATAACAATAATAATCACTATGATTATTTGCATTATTATGATGATAATAATAATAGTAATAGTAATAATAATAATAACAATAATAGTAACAATAATAATAATAATACTGTTAATAATGATAGTAAACATAATATATATATATATATTTGTTTACAACATGTAAAATATACATGATATGTAAGTTGCAAAAAAGTGTGTGTATATATATATATAGTAATATAATACTCCTTGCAGCGTGATTTTTTCCTTGCACGCTTCCGGAGGACCTCGAAGCCGAAACCGCCTTACCCTCGAGCGTCTTCCCCAGCGTGACGCTGCCTTGCTTGCAAGTGCACGGAATGCTAAAATAACAAGCAGAAGTAAATTTTGACCAGCAGGTACACTGAATTAAATGGTTGTTTTAGACACTGTATCAAGTAGTTGTATTATGCCAGTGACATACTTTGTCCAGCAGACATTTCATGCTCTGTTCTGTTCTCCGCATTCGTCTACTGAAAAGAGCCGATACACCTCTCGGCAGTTTTCATCGAATCCCCGGAACATGTTAGACTCAGACGTTAGAATCTTTGTACTGTTTATTTTTGCTTCTGTCGCATCTTGCATCGCACAAGTTATGCCAGGACCACATCCTCTTGGCCGCAGACTTTGCGTGGCAACCAGCAGAGAAGAACAAAAGCCAGAGTCCTCTATGCATGCTGGCAGAGTTATGGGAAAGGGTCTGAAGAGTTGCCGACTTTTTTCCCACTGCCATGGACTGTCATCTTTTGAACAGTAGAGGATTTGGTCAGGTGGTCGATGCTCCGATTGGTCCCGACCGGCAATCGCGAGGGAGCCCAGCTTTCACATGTGTTTACTCTACACCCAGCCCCTGCCAGCTCCTTGTAGTTGCACAAGTGAGATCGCCTTTTACGATGTTTAGCGTGAACTCTCTGAACTCTCATGCTTTATGGCTGATTGCTGTCGCCGTGCACGATGTAGTTTACGGGGTGTCACCTTGAGGCTTCGCACAGAGCTCGTAGGAGATGATCGGTTCAACTTAGGCACTGCAGGTTCTGGAGGTGTTCAGGGGACGGAGTTTGCGAGCAGGGCGTAACTTTGAAGATCTACACTCCTTTACAAGTTTCTCAGGCCTACAGCTTGTTTGTAAGGCTCCTCAGTGGCATCTAGCTTTTCAAGCTGCTCCCGTCATGATTTCCATTGGGACTTTCCGAATACCAGAGCTGAGTTTGCAAATGCCCTAGATCGGTTCTACGTCCCGATCCAGGGACGACCCTGTCCGCCGAGCGATCAACCTGGAAGAGGGCCAGTCTGCGGCAACACGTTTCGAGGCTTGGCAGTCCGGGTGTTGAGTTCTTGGCTTGCGACCTTGGATGTCGTTTCGAACTCGGAAACTCCATCTGGCGGATCTTCTGCTGGTGTTCATGGTGGGTTTCATGCATCATCGGGATTATTGGAGTTTCCAATTTACACCAGTCGGTCACTGCTGCCGAGTCCTGTCGGAAGCTCTGCGATGATATCTGGCACTGGAGCCCAATTCCATGTTGAAACTGGCGAAGGGTACATTTAAGTGCTGTGCTCGGTATTTTAGGTGTGCTCGTGTGCAAAGAATGCGATTTCGTGCCACAGCTTTCCGAATGACGCATTAGCACCTTGCCTCGTTTAGCTTCAGTTTATATGAACACAAACAAGCGTGTTCAATGTTGTCTGCCTGAAAATCCCAGTGCAGTAGAGCTCCATACTGTGGGTTACGGATGCTTTGCATTTACAAACATGAAAATCTATGAAGATGTGGTGGCAGAACGAGGGCGAAAGAGAAGATACCACAGTGTTTTCCTATGGCCCAGGTTCTAGCCACTGGCACGGATGGGGCTCTGCTTCTGGCGCGACCTGCAGCCAGAGTTTGGTTGTCAAGTGTTGTTTCTGGAGCCCTTATCTTTTAACGGGTAGCAACATGCCAAATCTAGCACATCATGAGGTGTTTGGAAGTATAGCTGCCTTTGAGTGCGGTGTAGGTTGTTACAACTTACGAGAACATCAACTACCTCAACATCTGCAACGACGGAATCCAGAAAAGCAGCAGCAGCAACCAGAACAACCACAATTGCCATAAGTTGGTGCAGACTATATATGGGCAGCAGAGCAGCAAGTCCCACCGACCGCAGCAATCACAGTCAGGGCCACAACGCTCGTTCTGGTTGGTGCAATGGGAACAAAGCCCTGATGTTCACCCCACCGGCCGCGTTAAAGCCACCTGCGACAACTGTGTGAAGGACAGAACTTTCCATTCATAAGCAGAAGGCAATTGGCAGCAGAATAGCAACAGCTTTGCAATAGTTCCAAGAAAAGCAGGGATCGTATCTGCGGCAAGCTGAGTTTAAAGGCGGCTTTCAGCCGGGCAGCCCGTTTGCAAGGGTTTTTCGGGCTTCGATCGATCAGGCCTGTCGTCTCGAGCGCTCGGGACG